CATTACATCATATAGGTGGTAATTTGCATTAGTGGATAGAATTTTCCAGGGCTTTCCTCGGTGTACAAATTTCGAACATTTTAGGAACATATATACTAGTTCTAAGATGATACAGTAATGGGTACCTTATACACCAACCCCTTCACCTATTCATGCATACATGCACGTATTTTATTTATGCAACGTACGTTAAACCAAAACACTTATATATGCCCAACAGGGGCAAGGTAGCAGAGTCCTCAAACTCTCAGAGGATGCTATCATTTTTTTTTCTTTGGTATAGGGCCATTATATTGCCAAAACTTCTTTAAAATTTTGGAAGTTGGAAAATTTAGTTAAGACGATAATAAAATAAAATATATAATTTTTATCAAGTCATCTTCTCAGTGTCATTTGAATGTAAAGTCAAATTACCCATTTTGAATCACTGATCGATTCAAAGTATGATCTACTCCTTTGATCTCTTAAGATAAAGCTGATCGTATCGTACGCTACATCTAAGATGATTGCATTTGTATTAGTTTGTTAGCTTGTAACACATTCCAAGCAAGCATAAACATGAAGGTATTTGCACACCTCAAACTCTATATAAAAAAAATATCATGTGTTCAATGGTATTCAATAAAATTTAATGATAATTTTGAGTGAGTGAATGATATTTTTATAGTTTATTAGATAACTCATATGTATTTTAAATCCAAAATGAGTATAATCTCCACTTTAATTGAAAGTTTTCTCTTTGGAGATATAATTGACTGGAGGGGCTTACATCTATAGGAACTTGAGATCCCAGTATAAACTAAACCTTGTCTTAGTTCATTAATATAGGAAAAAAAATCCTCTAGACGTACGTAGACGAAAGCTAATCATGAGTTAGTTTTGCATTTGAAATGATAGATATATCCGAATATTATTCTTCAGGATGAATTTTATATCTCTTATGCTGAATTCAAATATGAATTAAAATAAATTATTTCTTCTCTCAAGTTAATAATACAAGTGTTAGTTTATCTTTCCAGATAATAATTAACACTAATTATTCATATTTGACTATATAAATACTAAATTATAAATCAGTGGTCATCATCATTTATTTTGTCCACAAATCCATGTTCCAGCTACATTCAGACCATGTTTGAACCTTAAATTTATTCAAGCATGGTTCAAACATATTTTGAAATAGGTTCTAACTTGGTTCAAAGTTGGTATGAAAGATGCTTGAACTAAGTTAAACCCATATTCTAACTTAGTTTGACTAATTAATTCAAATAGAATTCTCCAAAAATATAATTTACATATTTATTTTCTAATTATGTTACTCCCAATTAACTAAACATATTTTCCCAAAAACTAAAAGAAAATATTAGATTAATTATATAAAATAAAAAATTCTTACTATAGGTAATAAAAAATTCTTAAATGTTATCTTTTTCTTGAATTATTAGGCATAAGTTACAAAAATATGAAAAATGCAATTATCCAAAAAAATACACATGTATCAATGCACAACTTTATTGAACAAATTATACAAAGGAGCAAATTTCAGTTATGATTTAGTCAAAGGTGCATGTTTAAGAATTAATTTTAAAAGGAGTATGCATATAAGTAAAAACCAAATTCCGTATTCCAAGAATACATTAAACATTTCACCAGTTTTTTAGAAAATAAAAAATAAGGAGAATTATTTTCCACATTCATTACATTCAATAGAATCACAACAAAAAAATTGTGTGATACGGGCAGCCCAAATCATTCGGAAATTGTAAAATTTTACTGAAAAATGAGCATTTCCAATAGAAATGTAGTCGACCGTAAAAAACGTATCTGAAATCTTGTTCCAACAGAATATATATGCAAAAAATATTTTTGTTTCAGACGGATTTACTGATGGAATTTTGGCGAAATATTTACGAGTAACTATTAGCGGCTGTTTATTCGTCGGAAATTCTGGTAGAAAAATTTCGTTGTAAGTTTTGGCAAAACCATCAAAAAAGTCTGTCGGACATGGAGCCGCAACATTTTTAGACGATTTATTTGCCAGAACTTCCAAAAGAATTTTCTGCCTGAAATACAATACATTTTCATCGCATCTCCATTTTCGACAAATATTTCGTCAGAAATCAGCTTGAAACCTGCATAAAAAAATAGCACTGCTCTTATGTTTTCTACAACACAATAAACCTGCATAAAAATATATATATATATATATCATATTCCTTCAAAGTTTGAACATAAAGACATGCTACACGCATGTAATAACAAATTTAATCATTCCAAGTTCATTAAACATTCACCAAACATTTTAAAATTAAATATAAAGTTCATTCATTGTACAATTAAAAAAGGATAATTAAATTAACAAACATACAAATAAAATGTCCAACATATAAATGAAATATCCAGTAATAATAAAAAAACATCTAATCAGAATCAGTCTCCTCCTCTACTGATGCTGCCTGCTTTCCACTAAACTGCTCCCTCAACTTTTGCAACTCATCCAACAATTGAGTTTGATGCATATGCATTTGCATGTCAGCTTATGATTTCTTGGCTTGCTCAAGCTCAGCTCTATTGGCAACTACTTGTTGACTATACAACAACTCATGGCTACTTTCTGAGAAACTGGAGCCACCAGATGTCTGCACCTCATATGCTTAGGCTTGCCAGCCTAAACTATAAACCCGACTTTTCTAAATTCCGCATACTGCTTGTGACCAGTGCGGTAGCCACCTAAAATATACTCGTACTACTGAAGTTAACACAAGATTAAATAATTTACACATGACACTTAAAATATTAAACTTATGTACTCATGTAAGCTCTCTTTGCATCAGAATAATTTGGAGTATTATCTGTTGAAGGAAAATAGATTTAATTCAATTTGATTTATAAATTGGATGGTGTTATTTCACACAAATCCCCTATAAATGAAAAATCTGACAGCCTCCCAGCGTCTCCCCCGTTTAGAGGAAATTTAATGAGTCTTAGGGGATGCCTTGAATCCTTTCCATACACGACCAATATATTTTGAAGGCAACAACTATAATCTTCGCGACTCAACTTTAAATGTATATACACCCTTTAAGTAGCAGATGTTATACATATATCACCATCACATGCAACTTGAAATTAAAATATTGCTTTATTGGACCTCACATTTTTATAGGTCATCTGATATGATAGGATGTTGCAAGCAACATGATCATATTAATGAACAATGAGACAAGATTAAAATGATCATATGCTCTGAATGAAATTTTGATAGAGAAATCCAACGTGCACCTTACTAAAAAGATCCTATGCTTTGAATAGACTGACCTAATTCATAAAATATTACAAATCAAATACTAAGCTGGATGACTTCAATACAATATGAACTAATATTTGCATGAATTTTTAAACAATTTACCTAAAAAAAAATATTTTTGGTTATTAAAAAAATGATAGTAAACTATTCTAAAAATTTCAAGTGTACCTAAAAAATTTAGACATTAAAAAATGATGCCAAGCTATTATAAAAATGTGATACCGAGCTCTTATATAATTTGGTTATAACCTTATTATAAATATTTTAAGAAAATTAAAAGTTATGATCTTATTAAAATTAATAAGATATAAACTTACTATAATTTATTAGCTTAATTTAAAAATAATTTACATGTAAATAATAAATTTAATGATGCAATTAAAAAACCTTGCCTCCCATATAATTTTTATAAATATATTTTAAGCTGAGAATAGCTACTTATTATTAAATTTCATATAATTACTTTACATTAAATACAATGTAAACATTATCACTATATCAATTAACCAATTTATAAAATATGTGTGCTCATTGGAGGAAATCTCTTAGTTGTAAGTGCATTAAAATTAGTGCACGAAGAGGATAATCATCTATAATTTATTTAATTACGTCCAAATTAATTTGTGCTTAAAATTTAAATTAATTAATTTTTAACTTAATTAGTACTTAAATAATTTACAAGTTACTTTTACATTAAATAAAAGTTTAATTGTTTAGATTAATTATTATTAAATGATTATATCTAACTTAATCGATTAATTTTATAAAGTTAACAACTAATTGATATTTAATTAAATAAATCAGAAAAAAGCAAAACTATTGACACATCCACCGATGTTCACAACTTCCTCATCTCCCTCTTTGGCAATCAATAGAACTCGGGCATTAGCGATCAACACAGCTCGGGGAGTAAGAGGGATGTGAAAAAAAATGCCTAATTTTCATCTGTCATATGCTCCTTCAAAAATCTCTAACTTCCATTCCACTGCTCATACCACGGTCTTCTTGAACCTTTCCAAGTTGGCTCCCATTCTCGAGAGATTATTAGGTGCGGAGTGCCGATGGGGAGAATCATTTGCACAAGCATTAGGTACCTTGTGGTACTCGCACTCGGTACCGCTGGGTACTGTTAGGTACCCAGTGCTTATGCGGATGATGCGCACTCCGCACCTAATAATTTTTCCCCATTCTCACGTTCTTCTCTCTCTCTCTCTCTCTCTCTGGTACACTAACATACTTTTTTTTTATCATTCTTTTTAGGGGAAGTTACATCCATACCATTTTATAATACCTATTTTACATATTTAATACTCAAAACATTAATATTTCATTTATACTACCAAACACAAATCAAACCTCAAATATACCACTCCGTCTCTTCCGAGACTCATGATGTTATCCCCTATGTCTACTCTAAGCTTGCAAATATTGATATAGCATTTCTCAAATTTAGCAGTACTTTGTTTGCCACAATTGTACCTCTACAATGATCCATGGTTACATCCCGAAATCCTCCATATTTAAATGATACCAATATTTGCTCTTTTTGTTCTCCAGTGCTATCATCAGGAACCTGTTTTAACAAAGGCACAAATTTTATTTCCAAATGTGATTTCTAAATGCAATTCACAAGTAAAAAAATCAACTCAAACCTCCCTCCAAAATCATGGATTGCAGGCAGACGCGGTAGCAATCCGACCTCGTGAGCAGAGCAAGCACACTCGAGAGTCTGGCTTTTATCTTCAACTCCCACCTTTCGCAAGCAGGCGCTCAAGGAGTCCGACCTGAATCCTCAACTCACGAACAGTGCAAGCACACTAGAGAGCTGCTAGACCGCGCGAGAGGGAACACCGAACAGAGCAAGCACGGGAAAGGGTGATTTCAGCTGGTGCTACGTATGCGGATAACGTCGTGAGCCGGGGAAGAGACGGAGTGATATATTTGAGGTTAGGTTTATGTTTGATGGTATAAATAAAATATTAATATTTTAGATGATAAATAAATAAAATAATTATTATAAAGCGGTATGGCCTTCTTTTTATTTCCGAACACTCGATTGTGTTGAAGAAGGTTTGGTGGTGCAGAAATTTCATCTCTTGCAATCGTTTTCAGCAGATATGGCCGCTGCGGCAGCGGAGTCGAAGGAGTCACCGGGAAATAACCCAGGTCTCATTTCGGTGAAGGACGAGGCTACCAAGGAATATTTCTTGCAGCAAACAGTAAGCCGGATACCCAGCCGTCCGTTTCTTCTGCACGGAGTGATATTTAAATTTTTACGATTTTGTTCAGATAATCTCAATTGGCTATTTTGATTTTTCTTTTAACTCTGTGAATGCTTTATCCCTTATCTATCAAGTGTTGCAGAAGGACACCATGCTTAACTTCTTTGATTTAGGCATTCGGCTCATTATCCTTCTTTTCCCATTTTTATGCGCATAATAGGATGGGAAAACCTCCCCTTTTTCTGATTTAGGGGAAAAATGGCTAATGTTCACCTCTTGGAAAAGAGGAAGGTATTACTGATATTAATGATAAAGAGCTAAAACAGTGAGATAAACTGACTACTACTATCCTATCTGAAATCAAATTGTTCAAATTATGACCTTTGTATGGAGAATACCCTTAAAAGTGCATGCAATGACCTCCAAATCACTGGCATAAGAGCAGTCTCGTTGAAAAATTGAAGCAAGTTTCTAGGTAATCCAAGCATAATTGATCCTGCTGGTGATCTGATACTGCACAGTTTAATAAAGATCTTCCAAAAGGTTTGTGGAGATTAGGGCTTCGTTTGGGACAGCTTTCTTACTGCTTCTTAAAACAACTTTTTAGTACAAAATTAAAGTTTTTTACTAAAAAGTTGTTTTAAGAAGCAGAAATAAGCCGTTCCAAACGAAGCCTTCAAAATGTTCTTTGTTGGACCCCTCAACCTGTAGTCAAGTTGTTTCTATAATTAATGTCATTCTATCCAACATCAGCCATGTACTGCTGTTTTCCATCATTTCTTATTTTGTCTATTTTATTCCTATATATTGAAAGGAGAAAATCTACTGTCATTTTGCTTGGTTCAATTGCTTCTCAATTTAGTTTTTGTTATTACTGTTGAAGTGTGGTATATTTTTGGCGAACTTCTAACTTTCAGTTCCCGGGGAGAATTTACTGTAAATTTTGATGTGCAGATGCTTCGAGTTAAGGATCCTAAGACCAGCCTTGATTTCTATTCCCGTGTGCTGGGAATGTCGTAAGTTTTCTCTGAACAACTTGTTTAAAGTTTTTATATGAATATTTCTGTAAGATAGTAGTATCCATGACCAATCGATGGATCAATGCAAAGCAAAGTCTTTTTTCTGTATTGTCCTGATGGAGTTACTTTTGCTTGGGTTATCATAGTTCTTGATTGCTTCGGTATTGCAATGCTAGTTCATGATACTTGATTATTCATGGATGTTGGAATTGAGGCAATTAGTGGTGGAAACCATCATCTTTTACTAAGGTTAATTTGAAAGATTATAAACCTGAGCATAGCATCCCTCACTTGCACATGGAGATAGTTTTAATTGAGCATTTGAACCCTAGCTGTAGATAACCAAATTTCTACATAAGGATGCTAAAACTGGAAGCTTTTGCACACTGAAAAAAACTTGATTTTTTACATGCTTTAAGATTAATTTAGTAGGATACTGTATCTATAAAAAATATTAGGCTTTTGTGCTTTATTTCACATTTCTCAACTGATTGGCATGTTTAAATGTTACATCACAACTGTTTTTTTTTAATGTTTTTCTAATAAAACTAACACTTTTGCCACAATTCTTTATCCCCATTCTAAAATATTCATTAGCTTGCTGAAGAGGTTGGATTTTCCAGAAATGAAGTTCAGTCTCTATTTCTTGGGTTATGAGGTATCTTTTGCGATACTGTTTCAATGTCCTGTTTGGGAAGTTCACTTGTAATTTGCAGATCATATTTCATGATGAGCAGGATACAGCTTCAGCACCAGCTGACCCAAAAGAGCGGACAATTTGGACTTTCGGCCAAAAAGCTACACTTGAGTTGACACAGTAAGAGCGAGATATTTGTTTCTTTTGCTTCTACCTTTATCATTTGAGCTTTTTTGTTGTTTAACTTTGCTTGTTTACGAAGCCTTGGCACGCTTAGAGGGGATTGTGTTAGGTAGGCGCATCATTTGGTTCCTCTTTTTTATCTTGAAATATTTTGTTACTTTTTAGATGTTTATTGGACACTGGATACATGTTGGATAAGGTCTTGAGCAAATTATACCTCTAATTTTCTTACATACCAAACCAATCTTGTTTTATTTTCCCACACTAATTTTTCCTCCTTAGCAACTCTTGTCGCTGTTGCATTTTAACCCACTTTGATATTTTGCACTTTTTAGTATTATGTCAAGAAATAGTTCATGTTTAGTTTTTTATGGTAATACTTTTTTATGTATTATATCAAATATGCCATTTTATTTTCCATATTCTCATGATTGTTTTATGGCATCTGGTTGTGTCCTATATTTATTAAGGTTTTGCAAGATCTGATTGTCGTGGTTTTATGTGTCATTCTACTCCCTTCATAGGTCCTCAAAATTGGTTTTAACCTTTTTTTTTCTACTTTTCCAGTAATTGGGGCACAGAAAGTGATCCTGAATTTAAGGGCTACCATAATGGAAATTCTGAACCTCGGGGTTTTGGTAAAATCTATGTGGATTTATTGAAATTTACATCTGACGTACTTGTTGTGTGGAAACTGAAGACATAATTTCTTATATTGATTACAGGTCATATAGGCATCACAGTTGATGATATCTACAAGGCATGTGAACGATTTGAACGCTTAGGAGTTGAGTTTGTAAAGAAACCTGATGATGGTATTACTTTCCAGTGAATTATAGTTATTTTTTGCATTATTTGGATTCATTTTTTTGGTCCCATCAAGATAGTTTTATTTCCCCTTAAATTTAATCACATTTGTTGTAAGAAATGATACATCTTCATCTGTGTGTCAACTAGTCTAGTTGGTAAGGGCCTTGAAAGTTATGCTAATGTCTTGGGTTTGATTTTTTGCGCGCATCATATTTATATTCCCACCTTGAGAACTTTTGGGTGGGGGAAAAACATCCTCTTGTGATAGAATTTCGGATGGTCCAATGCATTAAAAAATATATGAATTTTGCTTCAGTCTCAGGAATCTTTTTTCTCTCCAATGACATACATTAGAGATTTTTAAGCTACTTGAAGGAGTTCTTCCTCTTTAGTTTTTTGTATGTAGAGATTGTCGTGCTACACTACTATCAAAATATTCATTCAAAATAATGATGCTTGATCCATAGGTTTTTAAGTAGCATCATATTCACTCCTTAATTAGGTATTATAAAGAATCTATGTGATGTAAATAAAAAATTAAAATTAGATTTTATGAATTCAACTATTTAAAAACTCATGCCATCAATAAATTAATAAATTTCTTACCTTGCTATCTAGTAATATTATGGTTGTATTCAATTGTTGAAACTACATTGTGCTTTTGAGTTGTCTATCAATCAAACATCCACTATAGGAAAATCTTCAATTACTAACGAAATTGGATAATTTTCTGGCAGAAATTAGAAATTCTAGAGATTTCCGGTGGTTTGACCGCCGGAAATTATTGGCATTTTGATCGCTGGAAATTATCGGCGCATAGACTGTAGGAGAACTGCCAGTAATTTCTGGCGGTGATAACTGCCACTATTTTCCGATGGCCAAGCTGCCGGTAATTTTTGACGGTTTTAATATTGGTTAAGACACTTACAATATCATTTGATATCGACATTTTCGGTGGATAGGCCGCCAAAAACCTGTAGGAACTTGAAAAAAAATTGACAGCCTCCCCTTTGTTCACACACATTTCCACATTTCATACCTACAACAGCTGAATAAAATGGACTAAATAAAATCCGCTAACACAATATTCACAATCAACACATACTAAAATAATTGAAAATATAAAATAAACGAAAAAAATTAACTTTTAAATATAATAAAACATGAAGTTCAATATAAACAATCTTTAAAAAAAAAATTCAACAATAAGAAAAAGTTCACATCAATGTTCTCAAATAATAACTTGTTCTTCAAACTCTAACAACAACTTTAAAATTATTTAATCATCTTCCGTATCCTTGCCGCCCTATGATTCATGCAGAAGCTACTGCTCTTTTTTCTTTTAATTTTCAGCTTGATATAATTGTAGTTTCGCTTGCATCTCAGCCTGAATTTGTCTCATCTCCTCTTATCTCTTTTGTCAGAGCAGCAACCCTCTAGCTGACGGTTTCTTCAACTCCGTTAGCATCATAGAATGTTGAGGTGGATATACTGCTCTCAATAGCATATTTCTGCAAACCTAAGCCATAAACCCTCACCTTCTGCCTTCCTCCATCCGCTTCTGACCACGTGTGATACTCTGAGTAGTAGGTTGATCCTGAAGATGATCCCTTAATAGTAGACGACTAAACCTCCTGTAGTTGTATAAAATCATACTACTAGAATAAATCCATAAATATATTTTTTTATTTATTTTTTATTATCACTTAAAAAATTAGTAGGATTAGAGAGAGTGGCTTTACCCTTAGAGATGGGACACGAAATGAGCATATACGTGAAAAGGTTGGAGTAGCTCTAGTAGAAGGTAAGATTAGAGAGAGTCGCCTTAGATGTTTTGGTCACATTAAACGGTGGCCTTCTGATGACCCGATTAAGAAAGTAGAGGTATTAGATTTGACTTATGTTAAGAAAGGTAGAGGCAGACCTAAAAAGATTTGGTTAGAAAGTATTAGAAATGATCTTTCTTTATTAGATTTAAACGAGAATTTGACTTTTAATAGGACAATGGAGAAAAATGATTCATATAGCTGACCCCACGTAGTGGGATAAAGGCTTGATGTTGTTGTTGTTGTTGTATTACTTAAAAAATTATAGTCACGTGAGCTTTTCTTGCCTTCTCATCAACTCACTGATGATCAAGTTGATATTAGTGAGTCATTACATGCAATTCATGGCGTCAGCTCTCGACCAAGATATTCTTTCTGCAAATAGTGAGCATAGTTAAAATAATGTACATAAATTTGAGAAACATTGAAATAATCTTTTACTAGTCATCTATTTTGCTTATTCTATTATCTCGATTTGGTGAACTCATGGATCGCCCAAGCTCTTGTCAAATTAGCCTATACTCCCTCGTCAATCCATAATGGACGTTACCCAGTCTTTCTAATGTCTGTGAACACATCCCTGAGATGAGTGAAGCCTCTTTTCTCAAAATTAGTTTTAATCCTCGAACTATGCTCTGGTAACCACCTAAAATCTTTTTATAAAATATAGGCTTTATAAATAATATTAATACAAATATAATCAGAAATGTTAAGTAATGCCAAGTAAATATACATATTTTCTTCCACAATAAGAAGCATCATATTTGCTCTGTATTATGTCATGAATCATGTGAGTGGTCTGCATTGCGGAATTAAAGTTATAGGTTTATTACATAATAGATCAAATTGCAATAATTTTACAAAATAAACTAAACTTATGTATCACCCCCCTCAGGCTCTATATATACACTCTTATCCTCTGCTGCTGCAAGCTCCCCAGCCTCAACCTCTACTTATGTTGATGGTCAACATTGTTCTGGCTGTACAGGAAGTGGGTAATAATATGATTGGTGGTAAGGAGGATATGGGTAGGTTGATTGAACTGTTTGTGATGTTGGGAGGAGGTAATATGGATATAAGGGAGCTGAGTGTCTCTGATTTGGAGAGAGAAATTGAGGATTAGTAGAGGTAGGAGTCGGAAAGTACCCAATATGGGGTGATACTCTAATCACAGGTGAATCTGTTTGTCCCTATCTTGCTTAGTGGGAAACTGATGCTGACTCCTCGATGGTGGTGATGACACTCCTGTCACTGGTGGAATTGTCTGCCCCTGACCTTGACCACCCTGTCTAGACCTAGTTGGTCCAGTGCTTAACTTATTCATACGACCAAACATTGATATAATGGATCTACGAGGAGGCTCGTCACCTGAAATCATCTATAATAAAAAAAGTAATTAGTTAACATTAAATTAAATTACAGTAGCGCTACAATTGTAACAAATATGCATAATTATAAATGAAGTTTTTGATAGATATGAAAATTTGCATAAATAGAAATAAAAAAATACATATACAAAAAACTAAAAGTAAAATTTTCATTTAAATAATCTATATATCATCATGGGCATCTATGACATAGTATACTTAACTAATGCTTCAAATATGTACCTAGAGATTTGTTGCATTAGGCTTATTTCATTTGAAGTAATTTAATAACTACATTTTCATTAGGTACGTAGGTGCACTGTATAAGCCATGATTGTGTTAAATTTAGCTTGTTATGATTGAAGTCCATCTAAAATACTTAATTAATATATTAAAACATCCCTTCATAATTTGTTATCATTATAATCAAATAATAAACATTCAAATTTATGGGACTAACATTAATCACACCTGCTTATTTAATGGTTTAGCATTGTGGCATTCTTCTTGTTTACGAATATGAATTTGGTCACTTAAGTTATAAGAACTATTTTGAATTATAATTGCTTTCAGTGCTCTGTAAGATATCTTCACTTTTTTCCTCATTCTCACTTTAAGAGCTTGTTGAATTGTCCACATTCTTTAACTGCATTTCAACATTAAACAACGAACTATCAAGAACATCAATTTCAACTGTCCTACAATCTGATGTCTCATCCTCTGGATGTACAGTAGCTATGACGTATTGTTGTTCAACAACACCTTATACATTTGTTTTTATGATAGATAGTCAATCTTGTTTATTTCTACGACCACTGAGATATTTGCTGAATTAAACTTGAATTATTTGACTTGCTAGCATGAATGAATCAAAATTTTCGTATCTTCTACTATGTTTACCTCTACTAAACCATACACAGGATAAACTCTTGTGCTTCTATTCGGTATAAGATCATATTATTGATAGTTGAACAAATATACAAGATTTTCATCTTTTCATATGTACTGCAGCTCAAGAACCTCATCCAGAATACTATAGTAAACACACTCATCTGCTTCATGAGTGTTTCTTTATCACAAACTCTACAATTTTTAGTTTTTCTTCATTCACTTCATAACTTGAAATAAAATCTAAACCCATTAACAATATAAATTGGCCATATGTTTGCTTTTCTCATTGCACCTCATGCTAGTGCTTGCTACCCTTTATCGAAGACCTTATTACGGGGGTCATGAATCTAAGAAAAGTTAGAAAATTTAGGGCTTGTATTATTTAATAAGATGTAAATCAATGAAATAATATAGATTTTACTCACGTAAAATCTAAATCATGCTGAAAATTTATTTGCAGCAAGTTACTCAACAACTGAATATCTGTTGGAGACAAACTGCTTATGAAAGACCTGATAAGAAATCATTCAATTCACACTTCAAAATAAAAAAAATAACATGATTTCTTATGCACATTTTGGAAAAACTTACTCTAAGATAAGTTGGACTTCCTGCCAGTTCAGTAGCACATATAAAGTTGTTATTTTGATTTCTAAATCACTGAGGAACCATATAACATATTTTTCACTGGCCTTTCTATGACTTTTAAAGACTGACAGTGTAGATTTTGATTGTTCTTCAATATCGAAGTCCATGTTATGACCAATTTTTATTCTTGTACTTCTCACATGGGGCTTGAAATAATAGAAGCTGAAGTGGGTGATTTCTTGAGCCAAATATGTTTCACATATCGATCATTCTGGTCGTACTTTATTTTTAACATATATTTTTTTAACTTATTCAAGTATCTGTTTGACGATT